GGCGGGGCGGGGCCCGTGCCGTCCTTCTCGGGCGCGGCTGCGGGGAGGCTCACGCGCTTGAAGTCCTTGGGTTCGGCCACCGCGGGCTCCTCGCGCGGGGCGAAGCTGGCCAGGTCGTCCGGCACGGCCTCCTCCTCCTCGTCCTCCAGCTCCTCGTCCTCCAGCTCCTCGTCCTCCAGCTCCTCGTCCAGCTCCTCGTCCAGCTCCTCGTCCAGCTCCTCGGCGTCCTGGTCCCAGCGCGGCGAGTCCTGCTGGTAGCTCACCGAGCTGTGGCACGAATGGTACGAGTCGCGCTCGCGCTCGTCCTCCAGCTCCGAGCCCTGCAGGCTCTGCTCGTCGGGGTCGAAGTCCTCGCTCAGCTGCGAGCTGCCTCGGCTCAGCTCGCCCGACGACGCGTAGCGGCTGCTGCCCGTGGGGCTGTGGGGACGAAGCGGCCCAGGTCAGCGGCGTCCCGGGGACCGGGCGTCCGGACTGGGCGCTCGCTGTGTGCTGGGGCCTGCCCGAGGCCCCAGGAAACTGCCCGGCTCTCGCTAAGTGCCCAAGCGGGGCTCAAACTGTGACCCTCCTGCCTCAGCCTCCCAGGTAGGTTGGATTACAGGCGTGCACTGTGGTGCCAGGTTTTATGTGGCTCTTCTGCTCTCGCTTAAATGGAAAGTATACTTTAGAAGACTGTCTCGGTGTGAATGCGTCCCTTGAAGCTCATGCTTTAGAAATGTAATCCCAATGCCAAGGTCTTGACATTCAGTCAATCCCAGTGGCCCTTGCCTTTATCCAGCATGCTGGGAGGCTGAGGCAGGAGGATCGCAAGTTAGAGCCCACTCAGCTTGGGCAGTTTACACACTTAGAGAGACCCTGGCTCAAAATGCTTTTAAGTTTTAAAAAGGCTGGGGATGCACGCCTGTAATCTCAGCACGGAGGAGATAGGGTTGGAGACCAGGTCAGGAAAATTGGTGCAAATTCCAGGCCAGCCTGGATTACACAGCAAGAGTCTCAAAAGAAACAAAATAACAACTAAAGGGGGGCGGGTGCATAGCTCAGTGCTGAGGCCTGGGTTCTGCCCCCCTTTGTTTGTTTCTGTTTAGAAGCCAGGGCCAGCACCTCAGGCTGCCGCCGAGGGGCACAGTTTGGTGGCCATCGTCCTGGAGGTGGGGATCGTGTGTCGCAGGCCCTGCAGCCTCTTCAGCGAGGCGCCGTGGGGGACTGAGCAATGCCGCTCACAGCCACCAGCCCCAGCTGTGGGGGGCACAGGCTCAGGGCCACCCTGGGGCTGCCGGCTGCCCACTGGGATCCTGCCCAGCGTCCCTGTCCCCCACAAGCCTCAGCTCTTCACCACCTGGCCCGTCCTCCACGGGGCGGGGTGCAGGCTCTGTTTGTTCTAGGAAGCTCACCAGCTCTTCGGGAGGTGCAAGCCCCCTCTCACCAAGCAGCTAGATCGTCTAGAATTTCCCTCTGCACTGAGCTACATCCTTAGTCCTTTCTAACTTTTTATTCTGAGATGAAGTTGCTCAGGCTGGGCTGGAACCTGAGACCCTCCAGCCTCAGCCCTCTAGTCAAGCTTCCTCAATTATTCTTGCAAGCATTTGGGTAAAGCAAGGGCTTCATGCCCACATGGGAAAGCGTTCATTCTGCGCCCCCATCTGCCCCCAGGGGCCCAGGCTACCTGAGCGCCCGCGGCTCGGAGAAGTCCTCGTAGCTCTGCATGGAGTCGCTGTAGGACTCGCGGGAGCCTAGGGGCGGCGGGCGGACAGAGTACTGGTGCACGGAGGCATTGGGCTGGGAGGTGGTGTAGTAGGGCGGCGGGATGCTGTTGCTGGTCTCGCTGCGGTAGTCGCTGTCCCGGTCGTCCACTGCACTGTCAGGGTCATCGTCTGGGAGACAGCGGAGGGGAGGGACAGGGTGATGGGCTGCCCACCCAGAGAGAGGTGTTTTTATGCAATGCTTGGACGACTGTGTGTCTTATTAATAGAGATATAGGCCTCAGAACAAGGGAGGTGGAAGTCTTGCCTGGCCTCATCAGGGTCAAACTGGATCTAGAGTCTGGGCCAGGCTAGGTCCGATGCTAGAAGGGCACAGAGACCCTCAGCCCCACGGGAGGCCGAACTTTGCCAATACGCAGGCTGTCAGAAAAACAAGGTGGGGCTTGTTCTATTAGGCAGTGGGGCTCCCATCAGTGGGCGCTCTGGGACAGGGTGGGGACAGAGCCCCTGGTGTGCACAGCTGAGGGCTCAGACCCAACTTGCAGGTACAGAGCAAAGTGGCTGGGGCGGGGACATCTGCATCAAGACAGTGCTTGATTCTCAGGCAGCCTCCACTCACCTGCACTGACCTGGGTAGGCTGTTGCCAAACCCTTGACAGCTTAAAAAAAAAAACCTAATTCTAAAAGCAACATGCACTGGGCATGGTGGTGCATGACTGTAATTAACGAATTATTCAGGAGGCTGAGGCAGGCGGATCTCTGGTTCAAGACCAGCCTGGGGAACACAGTGAGACGGTCTCATAAAACCAAAAACAAACCAAACCAAAACAAAAAGTGATGTGTCTGGGTGGGAGCCATACACTTTCTTAGTTGTTCCTTCCAGCAATTTCTGGGAAAATCTCTCCCTCTCTCCTCTTCCTCTTCTTTCTTCTCTCCCTCTTTTGTGGTACTGGAGAGGGAACCTAGGGCCTTCACTCTGAACTACATCCTCAGCCCTTTTAAATTTGGGAAAAGGTCTCTCTCGCTAAATTGCCCAGGCGGGACTTGAATTTACAGTTCTCCCGCCTCAGCCTCCGGAGTAGCTGAGATCACAGGCCTGCCCCACCATGCGCAGTTTAAAAAAATCACTTCAACAATGCCCGTGATTTAATGAAAGAGCATGGTGACATTATGATTTTGAAAGTGAAGCAGAATGCAGCCAGCACAGAGAGGCCAAAACGTATGGGGGCGCAGGGGTCCTGGCAGAGGGCACCCCAGGTCCCCAGTGCTCAGGCCACAGAGGGGAGCTTCGGGTGTGATGTCCTCAGCAGCACCGGAAGATGTTAGATCATCCTGGCATGCGATGCCTCCATTTTTTTAGAAAAGGACACGTGGGTTACAAGTGACCAGGCTGCAGGAGATCCACGTCCCTCGCACCTTGCGGTTAACTTGCTGGTGATTTTACAAGGGGCGAGGCGCGGTTGTGCCTTTTGTGTCTGTATGCATTTTTGCTCATTTGCCAGACATTTGTTTTTCTTCTTTTCTTTCTTTTTTTTTTTTTTTTGTAGTGGGAATTAGACTCATGGCCTTGTGCTTGCCAGGCAGGCACTGTGCCACTGAGCTCTAACACCGGCCCTTCTTATTTTATTTTATCTAAATTTTTTTCAGCTAAGTCCTTTTCAGCTAAATGCATATGCTTCTTTTTCGTTGTTTGTTCTAGGCTGGCCTGAACTCATAGTGATCCTCCTGCCTCAGCCTCTCAAGTGCTGGGATTATAGGCATGCACCACCACTTTCAGCTAAATGCCTATGTTTCTATGTGCACAAAAAATAGGTCTGAACCGGGCATGTTGGTACACGCCTGTAATCTCAGCACTCGGGAGGCTGAAGCAGGAGGCTTACTGTGAGTTTGAGACCAGCCTGGGCTACAAAGTGAGCTCAAGGCCAGCCTGAACTGCATAGTGAGACCTTGCCTCAAAAAGACCAAAAAAAAGAGGAAAGGGGCGGGTCCCTGTGGGCATCTCACTGGGTGGCCTATGCGGGGGTGGTGGGCAGACAGACACAGGGGGAAGAGTCACACAGGCGTCCCGGCGCCTCCCTCCCGCCCTCCCCGGGTGCCGCCCCTGCCAGACCAGCAGTGGTGCACAGGGTCGGGGGCTGCAGGGGAGGGGTGAGGCTGGGCCCCACTGCCCTCTGACCCCCAGTCCCTGTGTGTGAGTTTCGGGGTCCCCAGGACGACGTACTCTGTTCTCCCCAGTTGAAGTAGTTCCAGTTGCCTACAAGAGAAAGTGAAGATGACAGGAGTTGCTGCTGCCTCAGTTTCCCGGTCCCCCTTGGCTGACCCTGCGGGTGCAGGGAAGATTCTGGGGTCTCCTGCCTCTTCCCTCCCTGTCAGCCTGGGCCCCTGAGCCTCTGGACACCCCGAGGGCCGGGTCTCGGATGGATCAATCCACAAAGGCTCTCCACTCAAGAGGCCGAGGCAGGAGGATTGCGTGAGCCCAGCTGTTCAAGGCCAGTCTGGGCCCCACGGTGAGACCTGGGCTCAGAACAACAGCCCTAAGGAAGGCCAGCTTGGAGCAGCAGGAGGAGGACCTCAGGCCCCGCCCACCCGGCTCTGCCCCTGCCAGGGGGCGGCCCTTCTCCTCTCGCCCCATCTCTTGGTTTAACGAAACAGGCACTGGAAGGAGCCCTCGCTCGCCCACTGGACAGGCGTCCCTGGGCGGGCGCTGCCGTCGAGGTGCTTGGGACCTGGCGGCCCTGGTTCGTTGAGTGACTTCTAGATCTCGTTCAGGGACTCATAGCTAGGAAGGGCAGGGCCAGCAGCGCCGGGGCTCTGCGGGGAACAGCAGGGGAGGGGACGGGACACTTACAGCACTGGCTGCTGGGCACCGGCAGCGGCTTCTGCTCATCTGGGAAGGAGTACTGCGGGCGGGGCAGAGGTTCAGGGCTGCAGCCCACCGCGCGGCCCAGACCCCGCCCGTGCAAGAGAAGGGGGGATGGGCGGAGGCGGGGGCCCTGCGTCCCACGCACCTCGTCCTGATCGCGCATGGCGTTGAGCTGCTCCAGCTTCTTGGCCCAGTAGCGCGCCTCCTCCTCGGGGATGTCTGCGGACAGAGCCAGGCGCTGGCCACGCCCCGCGCGCCGCCCGCCCCCCTCCCGAGCGGCCGGACCACGGAGCGCGAGACCGGAGACACGGGCACCCCAGCATGGGGCCTGGGAGGCTGAGGCGGGAGGGTCACAGCTCCAGCCCAGTCAGGGCAACTTAGCAAGACCCTGTGTCAGTGTTTTAGGAAAGGGTTGGGGTGCAGCTCTGTGTCAAGACCCTGGGTTCCGTCCCTATTTTGTGTTTATTTATTCGTGGTACTGGGGTTGAACCCAGCTTCACACGGAGCTACATCCTCAACCCTTTCTTCATTTTTTTTACTTTGAGACAGAACGTAGGTAAGTTGCCCAGGTTGGGCTGGAACTTGTGATCCTCCTGCCTCAGCCTCCCAGCGTGCTGAGATGACTGGCGTGCACCATCGCACCCAGCTTCACCGCCTGTGCCTCTCCGCCCCTGTGCCCGCCCAGGGCCGCGCTGCTCCGCCCGCCGCGCCCCTCCCCGGGGCTCTCTGCCTGTGTCTCTCTGTCCCTCTCCCCGCCCCTTCTTGCCCCCAGCCTGAGCCACCCCACGACCCCACAAAACTTGGGGGGAGCGCCCCAGGGTGCAGGTCCCCGGGGGCTCACCCAGGGGCAGCTCGAAGCGCGTGTCCAGCAGGATGCGGTGGAAGGTGGGGTCTTTGGTGCCGCAGATCTCGCTGTCGGCCATGATGACCTGGGAGTCCAGCGTCAGCCACTCCCCGGGGCCCTCCTGCGGGGCAGGGCCGTGCCCGGTCAGGCATCCGCACACCTCACGAGCTGTCCCCTGCCCCTGTCGCCCCTACCCACAGCTTGGCTCATGGCCCCGACTAGAGATGGGGAAACTGAGGCTCTGAGCTGGGGACAGGGAGGCCCGGGCAGAGCTCCAAGGAGGTAAGATCTTGCCAGGAGGCTGAGGCAGGGATGGGCCGTGGATAGCGAGGACACACACACACAACCCCTCCCCTGCCTGTGGCCCGAGGGCTGAGGGCCAGGGTGCTTGCTGGCACCCTCCGCCGGCAGGCCTAGCCTCCTTCTGCTGCCCACCAGGGCAGGTAACCCCTTCACTCCTTCCACAGTTCTGTAATATAAAGTCTAGCTGGGCTCAGAGGGCATGACTTAAAGCTCCATTTCGCAGAATCCCTTACAGCCCGGCAAAGCCCCACGACTCAGTAGGGTGCTGTGAGTGGCTCTCTGCGTCACTGCATTCCCCAGCAGGAATACAGATGCAGTGACGAGCCTCACGCAGCTTTGGCTCCCGCGGAGGAAGCCACGTGGGGGAAGCAGAGTAATGCCACGGAAGGCGTTTAAAAGCAGCTGGTGCTCTTTGGGTTGTCAAGGCAACCCCAGATGTTTCAGCGGACAAGCTCATGTTCGCCAGGTCACATGCCTCTGCCCTCCCTCGCCCGCGGTCACCTCGTTGGACTGGCGGATGGTCCGCAGCGGGATCCACACGGTGCCCACCATGGTGTCCCAGATGAGACCCTTGTTCCACACCTCCACGGTCAGCCCCAGGTCCAGGCGGTTGATCTCGCTGCGGAGAGAAGCAGGAGAGGGGGGCGAGGAGGTCAGGGCGTCCCCAAGTCACCGCTGCCGTGCAGACCGGGCTGCGAGCTCCGCGGGAGGGAGCCCAGTGCTCTCATTTTACGGAGGAGAAGCTGAGGCCGGAGGGGCAGGGACCAGGCCCTGGAGAGGAGCGAGGAGAGGGCAGCCCGCCTCTAGGCTCCTGTGCAGAGTCACAGCGGGGGCCAGTGCCCTGGAGAAGGCAGGTGCAAAGGCCCTGGGGCAGTGCCAAGCAAGCGGTGGGGGGCGGTTCCGAGGCACCTCTGCCAGGACTGGTTTGGAAGGGAGTGTCAGGATGTGATCCGCAGTGTTAAAAATATCCCGGCTGCGTCTGCGAGGAGAGCAGATTGTGCGAGGTGGGTGGCCGGTGGAGGGAGGCCCGTGAGGCCCAGGGTTCTGGGGCCGCCCGGCCTGTAGTGTGCAGCCGTGTGCGGGCGGGGCGGAGGGGAGGCCACGTTGGACTGGCGTGCCTGGGGCGTTCCAGGGTTGGCCAGGGCGTGGCCTAGGCGAGGAGGTGGCAAGGCCATGTAGGATGGGCATGTCTAGGGCGTGGCCAGGGTTGGCCAGGGCGTGTCCAGGAGTGGCCGGGGGCGTGGCCTCGGCAAGGCCATGTAGGGTGGGCGTGACCACGTAGGATGGGCGTATCCGGGGCGTGGCCAGG